CTCATTAGTTATAATCAGAAGTCAAACTCGCAGTTTCTACAGCGAGCCTAATAAAAAGTTTTCGAGCGCTGCGATCTTTCTTTTAAAGTCTCAATACATTTTCCTCCTGTTTGCCATGTTTACCGATTTATTCATGAATTGGTAATTTAATGGTTACTCTCATGCCGTTTCCGCGACTTGAGAAGAGATATATCGAAGATGCTTGTTTTCTCGGCTTACCTTTAAAGCCAGTTTCATCCCACTACAAAGAATACTCATTTCGAAAGCCTCCATTACATTAATTTTTTTATACTTTATCAGAGACCAGCTAACTTCAGGATTTTAATTATATTTCGTCAGGTAAGCCAAGAACATCAACGAAGAGAGGGATGTCGTATTTTTCGAAGCGAAAATCTGTCTTACACTCAGTCTCACTTTTATCTTGCTATGTAAATCTTTCATAATTCCAATAAAGATACTGTGGATTTTTGGACTTGTTAACATCATACAACAATAGAAATTCATCCTCATTGATGATTTCCTCGCAAAAACTTAGAAGAAGTTCGTCCGGCGCTCTCCTGAAAGACGCAATTCTCGACCAGGGGCTGGAAAAAGTTCACATCTTGTTTACCTTTTCTTAAGTCTGAATTCCGCACAAAGAACGGCGTTCTCGCCCCAAGGCCTTTATATGCCGTGAAGTCCCAGAAGTAGACGCCGTCCTCAAATCTTAAGGTCCCTAGTAAAACAAGTATACCTCGTTGGAGGTATAATATATAGATTTAGCCAAGCCTAAAAGCGGAGCTCCCAAGTTCGTAATATTAATGATAACATAAAAGATGTGCATTTGCCAAGACTCGCCTGAGACACCCCTCCCTTCGTTTTGATAGTCTCCCCTACCCTACCCGTGCAATCTGAAGGTACGTACGTAGCACGTACGTACTTACGTATGCTCGGTGAGTCACGTGACAACCAAACGAAAAGAGGTTGACCATATTCCAAGAGTATGGGGCTCTGCCCCACGCGCGCTTCGTGGGAGCCCCGCTATTATGGTTAAAGAGGGAGGAGGATAGGGCTGATTGCACCGATGATTTTTGTAACGATAGGGCCTATGATAATCCCCTACTGACACTCCCTTAACGCTCTCCTACCCGTTCGTAGGTTCCAAGGTGCCTGTCTGGCTTATGGATCGAATGATATCTTACAAACGAAAGCGGGTCTGGTTCTACAACAGCCGATTCAATGATCCATCTTTATCAATTTCACCATAAAAATGAATTGCGTCGCTCACGTCATCCTATGCCAAAGATATGAAAAACAGATTCCATACAGTCTGTAGTAAGTAAAACTTGTATTTTTTACTTCGAACGGTGGGTTGGCTTCTTCCATGCAAAGGCAATCAGAGAAGTTCTCTTTTTCAATTCTTTTTCCGGGTGAAAAAGGAATAAAGCGCCTTGAACGGTTCTGGTTTCAATAACTTGACTCATTGCACGTGAATGGTTTCGAAGCTTTCTCTTTTCTTACAATCACAGATTCAAGTACGTAGCAAGGACGTGGTGCTTGCAGCATTCTGAGAGCTCAGGTGATGACTAGGCCGGAAAGTGAACACTTTGAAGAGGGGTGGCGAGGCTTTCTTAGCACTCCCTCTTTTCGCAACTCTGAAGTCGCCTCGAGCTCAAAACATTCTGCATGTTCCAATCGCGTAATCAGATATAACTTTCTCCAACAAGTTTACGACCATTCCCATGTTTCTTTCGTAAGAATAAGCTAATAAAATTGTCTCAACATATCAGGTAGGTCAAGACAATCTAAACGATTTTTATTGTTACGCAGTGAGGTAAATGAGCTAATCAATCATTAGAAACGCAATGGAACACTTTCAAAGGCTGTCACGCTTGTATAATTCCATTATAACTGTAACTAGCTACAGCTTTTTTAAAATTCTAAAAAAAATATTTCTATTTCTGTTATCTAGGCTTGCATACTAGGCAAGGTCATTGTAGGTCGTGCTTAAACCACAAATACAGCTATTCCTGAAATGGAAAAGCTTATTGATCAAGGAAACAAATAATTCATTTGAATACATTACTTTCGTTTGCTGAATATACAATCAATCTAGCATATTGTGATGTCGTCCCTCGCATGTTCGTCTTGTTAAGTTGTTTACTGAGTTACGAGACCTTAAGACACTAATGGATTAAATTGTTCGTTGTGAGATCTAGCTTCGCAAAATTCGGAAAACTATCCTTCGAAGGTGACTAGTTTTACTCTTTAGGAGGCCGTTTCGGTCATTTCACTTTCATAATTTTTTTCTTTGGTCGCAGACTCTTTACGTGATTGGCCTATCTTAACACACACTATACATGGTAGCAATTTGAAATTCATTAAATGCTTAAGCTCACATTTCGCAATTTTAAACTTTTCTTAATGGAGTCAGGGGATTCTTATCTTTAAAGTTTCATATCATTAGCAGTGCCCTCTTTTCATTGTTTTCGTACTTCGTGCAAAGTTGAATCCTTAAATTAAAGTGGCTTGTCAGGCAACCATATGGCATCTCTTGTTGGCAGAACATCAGAGTTGCTAAAAAGGAAAGCATAACTTATGATTTTCGGTAGCAAAATGGATCTAGGTCACAGCTCCTTAACGTATAAAATAATATCCCTCAAAATACACGAGCTTGAGCTGTTAGTACTGAGCCACTATCTGGGCATGAATTGTTGCTATTACTTCAGGTAAAGTATGATTTTTTTCTGCTGTGTTGAAACTAACACGCAGAATCATGACAAGAGCTCTTACATGATCTAAAAGTGAGAGGCAAGTGAATCTAAGCTCAGTTTTCTAGGTGAAACAGATGAAACATAATAATCTTTAAATACCTGAAGTAACCAAAACTTGAATCGGGAATACCACTTTTCTCCACTGCGAGCCTTCTCCTCGATGATCTTTTGTCCTGCTTTGACATCTTTAACTTTTGATAATATCTCCGCGTGACGTTTGGCTTCTTCGAAGTACTCCACACGTTTTTTCCAACCAGGTTTGGCTTCATTCTTCTCAGATTCTATGACAAGCTCCAGGTACTGCACTTGAGTTAGCGGGTTGGGTTTCAGGGCAATCTCATCCAATCGACGAAGGCTTTGCTGTGCCCTGTTTATCATGGTCAGAACATTGCTGTGTACACTTTGAAGAAATTCCTCAAGTTGTTCCATCATGCCTTCGATCTTTGATTTTCCTGAAATGGCTTTTTCATACTTCATTTGCAGTTCGGCGGAAGTTCTAATTTCGACAACTGACTCGTACTCGATTATGTAGGGGAGGTTTTTGTGATCTGACCAGATGCAGTTCAATGTACAAATTCTGCAATTTCCAGATGTTTTTTCCATGGCCCAACAGTTACGCTTGTAGCAGTCATCAGCAATCTTACAATCCTGGTGGCATGTGTAATTGCATTTTAGGCAGGTGGTGGTGTGCTTCCCAGTTCCTTTAAGATCGATATAATTTGGCTTAGTAACAACAACTTCATAAGTGAAATCTTTGTTGGTTTCAATCTCGCTGACATGGTGCTGCAAAACAAGCTCTTCTTGCCTCATTTCTTCAATCTTGTTGAGGCCCATTGTAATTTGAGGGTTCAGACCTTCAATCAAAGTTTGAAGTTGTTCACGTTCATTCAACACCTCTTTGGTAAGGCGAAGACTGACACTTTCTGCTTTTGCAAACTCAGCGAAAAAGTTCTGAAAGGAGAGATAACCCATCTTCCAAAACATTGCATCAAAGCTCTCTTCTGTTTCTTTGTTTCTGGCAAAAAGAGCTGAGTTGTTGAATTTGAAGTACTTGTCACTTGGAACGTTGGCTCTATTGATGGCTTCAAGCACTGGGGGATGTTGGCCATCTGCAAAGGTCAGCATCATAAAGATATTTTTGGAAACATCGTTTCCAAATATAGAAAGGACTGAGTTGAAGATGTACTCTTGCGTTGGAGTGAGACGTGCCAGGGAAGCTTGTGTAACGAATCCAACTCCATCAAGGTGGTCGATACCATTTGGTGGAGGAATGGAAAAGAACTCTTTAATCTGATTGGTAATGAGCCTATCCCTTTTCAGACCTTCTGTATCCCCAAACCCTGGTGTATCAATTATTGTAAATGTGTACGGAATGGCTGAACCTTGCATGGGATAAAACGTGTAAGCGGTAATGTCCTTCGTCTGACTGTAAGCTTGAGATACGCTTATGTCCTCCACGACGAGTTTATATCGAAAGTCGTCTTTCCACTCAACACCCAAAATGTAATTCACCATGCCATTGATTAACGTCGACTTACCAGCTCCAGTAGCTCCTACTACCATTAGAACTTTCTCAGAAGAGCGTCCTTTAACTCTTTTGGGGGGCTTTCCGATACTTTGTCTGGCAATCATGCTGTTTTGTCGTCTCATTCTTGTTTTCATTGAGAGCTTGTAAATTGTTGGAGAGCCATCTTTAATCTTCTTCGAGGAGGAAAGCAAGAACTCTGCTGGTTTATAAGGAACAAAGAACTTTGTGGCCTTGTCATCGGAGGTTTTACTGTTTTGCGCGATACCACTGGTCCGTTTACAATCTGGCTTGCATATAGGATTTTCTTGGTTCTTTCCGCCGATTGCTTCACTACCTTTCGTTCCTTCGGCGTTGTTTCTGGACTTGAGAGACGATGAATCCTTAGCCCTTGCTCCATTTGGATTGTGGCTCTGTTTACCTGAGGATGACTCACTCTTCTTCTTGTGGAGGAGGTCTGATTCGGATTCAGTCGCGAGATCCTCAGTAATAACACTGTCACTGGTGGCACTTACAGCACTTCTCCCAGCTTTGCATTCGCTGTTCACCTTAAACAGGTAGGCAGTGTTTGCCTCCAATCCATCTACCATAATCGTATTTTCTGGTCCCGCAGTCGACAATGACTTCCAATCGCCGACAGAAGGTCTAAAATGAACTGTGTAATTCTGGACTATTTCTTTTCCATGTGGAGACTGTTCCCAACGTAGGGTGATACTGGAGGCACTTGTCACAGTTGCAGAAGGCTTTCCGGGTACACCTGGAAGTTCAAAATCCATAGAATGACCACCATCATACAAACGGACTGTAAGAACTCCTTCGCCTGTGCACTTCTGAACGTTTGTGACGATGAACTTTGTACGCCCGTCATTTTCATTTTCACGGACAAAATCTCTGAAATTTCTCGCCTTAGCCTTTCCTTCATTAACTATTTCAGGATTCTCATACCAGGACTGTGCTGAGAGATTTTCTGGTGTCCAACTGCCAGTTCGCAGGAATGTATGCATTTGTTCAACCAGTGCATCTTGATTCCCAGCCGTCATCAGGGAAAAGCAAACAACCTGGTCATACTCCAAGGAATTGATCACACTGTCAAGATCTTTCAAAGACGTTACCAGCTGGATTCCCCTAAAGAATTCCAGGTATGTGGACACAAGTTTCATCTCCTTCTCTATGCCACTAATCCAAGACGTGAGGCGGTCGTGATGAAACGGAGAAGACACAAGTGTGTTGAGGACGTCGGTGAGGACTTGCTCTTCTTCTTCACCTCCTCGCACCACTGGCAACAAATCGGAAAATGTCTTCAGAATGTTCTTTTTGTACCTGGAAACCGCTTTTCCACATCTGGAGATCCGCTGTTTGATGATAGGGAAGGTGGAACATGTGTTATCATCGACGAGACCAGATAAACGCGTTTGAAACTCGTTGAAATTTGCCAAGGCATTTTGCAGAGCTCCAGTCACTTGAGGGCTAACCTCACGCACTCGCCGTACCAATTGCGGTTCCAAAGTGCTCAGTGATTGTAGCCAAACCCTTTTAGGAAAATCATGCATATGGCTTTCTTCGTTTTTCTGGAGTTCAGAGTAGGTCCGCAGGGCATCTTCATAACTCATACCAATGGTAGAACTGGCCTGGTCTCTATCTCCATAAAAGGTAAAAACCAATTTACTCAGTTCTTCCTTGTCCATCAGCTCTGTTGCACGTGCAGATGTATTGCTTCCCTCCACAGCTTGGAATAGGGAGTCGACAGCGAACTCTAGGTCGGCTTCAACATCGGTAAATGTTTCGTTTTCGTCCAATATTCTGTCGAATACGAAGACTGCTTCTCTGCCATATTCTATTCGCGATACAAAATGTGTAGCTGTCATCTCTGAACTTAGGTCTCTGTAAGGCTCTTTCTTTGTTTGATCCATGTTAAGTTCTTCAAATTTCGATGTAGTTTCATACTTGACAATAATGCGAACCAGATTGTGCTTCTTTGAGGTGTCGCCATCAATGATAAACTTTCCAATTCCGGATGGGTTGATCAATCCTGTCATCAAACTCAATCTAAAGTTAGAATCGATGCCGAAAACCTTTGCCATCTCTTCCACGTTGCCACTTACAAAGACTTCGTACATAGACTGTGGGGAAATGCGCGAGGAAGAGATATTCTTAACGATGTCAGATTCCCACAATGTTGGCCCTGTTACAAGGTAGTGACTACGATAGTCGTACAGCATTCCCAATTGAAATGGCTGCCCGAAAGAATGCACCTCAAGAACGCCAGTGCTGTCGCTCATGTTGTTTCACTATTAAATGAATTAATGCCGAAAAATACAAAACAAAGATCATTTATTTATCCTTTATATCTGATTTTGTAATTTATGAAGTGTTTTGTTGTGTCACACTAGGAAGGTTGGTTTATTTCAATCACTGTGTTTACACTTGACCAAATAGTTGAGATTAAATCATTCGTTTCAAGCTATCATTGAAGCACTTTCACCACCACAAATGATGATGAAAACTCGATTTTACCTTACGTCGCAGAGACAAAATCCACTCAAAGGAGCGAAATATATCCATACTAACTCACCTTAATGAGTAAATACAAGCTCGGCCTATCTCCAAAAATTTATTAAAATCATTGACTCGTGTAATGCACTGGCGACTTTAGTGATGTAAAGGTTGGTTGAGTTTTAAACCTTCTGGTTAAATAATTTAATAATCATTTCTTTTTCATTCTGACACTCCAAACTTAAAATCAGTGGGTTCTAGAACGTCTAAGAGAAGGAGAATGCAGCAGTAAGATGTAAATACGCTTAAGAGACGGTTTTTAAGTTTCTCAACACCGCGTTATCAGTTACTGTGACTCATAGTATGCCACTTCTAATAAGAACACACTTTCATATTTTATTTAAATAAAAATAGAGAGCATTTACACAACATATTGATCGAATTAATCAGGAGAGAGAATCAAAAGTGAATTCCTAGAAATGACGTTACGCTCGGCCAAATTTCCGGGAATAACTCGTAACGCAATTCCGATATTTTACTCAGCAACTCGTAGGGTACTAGAAGTTTAAAGCGATAAATAAAAAGATGCGATTTGTTGGCGAAATAAATCGTTTCTTTTTGAGATGCATTCATGGTTATCATTCGTAGACCGATGTCACAGGCACTAAAATTCCTATTTT